GAGTGGATAGATAGATATAACATTTACACACTAAACGTTTATGTTAAATCAGCCATGTTGAACGGAAATAGAAAAATAAAATACCGAAGAAAATCATAAGACGGATACCAATAGGAAAAAGTCAGCCAAACTGAAGTGTACAAGTCAAATGAAACAAGATCTGAAACCCTAAAAATTAGCAACTTGAAAATCAAAGTAAAAAGGATATCAGCATAGAGGAAACTACTGGAAAAAGCCAAAACCTATAATTAGTTGTCGATTTAACCATATAATGATCTTCTTTGTAGCTATCCGTTTACTTTAAGATCTTTTTATACCATTATAGTTTGCCAAGTCTTATCAGTTGCCCTGATTTTAATTTTGTAAAAAAGCTGAAGGAAATTGATAAAATCTTTTAATTGGCTACTTTAAGAAGTAATTTGTAATCAACATGCCTTGCTGAATTATATACCTAGTATTTACCTTGTTATTTATTTTAAAGTCCATCGCTGATACGGACATACTTCGAAATTTTCCAATCTTTAAAATACCGTCTACTGATTTTAATCAAAAGCATCTGTTTTATCCTTTTATTTCAAGTGTTTGTCTCCGCGTTTATAATTTTTGTTTTATTTGAGTTAAATTACTTTTCGATTTCAGAAACCACTTGCATTTATTCTTTATTTCTTTCGAGCATATTGAGTTCGGGCCATTTGCAGTGATTCGTAAGTGGATCAGAGATGAAAGGAAAGATATAATTTTCCTTTAATGGAAATAAACTTAATATTTACCTTTGGAACAATTTATAAAATCACAAAATATAAGCCAATATTCTTATGGAAAATAATTAATTTACAAAAGAAAAAAATATGAAACTGCAACGATTTGTATTAAGAGAAAATGTTTTTTAAATTAAGTAGGCAAGCATAGCAGGACACATTATACAGGCTGCTAACTTTGAAAAACCAAATTATGTACGAAGAAAACTACAAACGAAAACGACTACCCCTTAGAGGAACTACATCGATAATTAAATTCTTCAAAATACATGAGAGACGACTTAAGCTGTTCATATAGGGTTGTAATCTGGCGCAGGACATGGAACAAGTATGTGTGTGTGGTGTGTGTGAGTGTGGTGTGTGTGTCTGAATGAATAAGGAACTATCTGAATAAATGTGTCCTCTATAAACGGACTAGGCCTGGTGAATAAAAAGTATAAACGGATGTAAAAGGACCTCGCTACGGAAGTTCCTGTCACCCGTTAGATCTCTGGACTACCTGGGAGTCTCTCCCTAATAGTAGAGAGATTAAGTATGGATAAACTGCTTCAGTAAATTAAAAGAAGCCTACCCAAGTTAACGATATCAGTATCCTTAGCGTTAAGGATAGTGTTCGCCCCCTGTAATGGCATCTCAAGACTGGATTAGTGTCCAGATTGACGTTTTGTTGAGGAGGAGACAGCCATGTACAGAAACCTGCCTGGTATAAACCGTGTCTATTACGTCATAAGACGAACATGGATGTGGGGGCTTGCCTTAACCAGCCGGCCAAGTGGAAGGAAACTACAGTAAAATTCGTTTCAATTTCAAGGTGAAACAGCATATTCCAAAGAATAAATAGTTAGGGGGTACCTAAATACCATTATGTGAACTCTGGAGCACTTGGGGAACCTCTGTTTCAATAGTTTTCCTGTAGCATGCGAAACTCTACTGCAAGTGACATTTAGTTTCCTAACGTCTCGTGGGAGCCTGTATGGAATTATATAATCAAGGAAAAGAATATCCCACCCCCAAAGATCGGACACTGAAATGGAGGTTCGTGACCCTTATGTAAAGGTCAAAAACAAGAATAAAAAAATTGAGGAGGAGCTTCTCCCAACTAGTGGCGACGAGCTTAGGTCCATAGGTCTTCTATATGGGAAAAAAGGATAAAGCTATTTGGTACCACAAGAAAAAGGTTTAAATACAAATGCAAATAAAGGCGGCTTTAGTCAAATGGCGAAAGGTATTAAAGTGGAAATTTTACCCTCGGAATTCCCACGTCGTCTCCTTATAACGGAACAATTAGAGGTCGTTAAGGAGATGATCCTCGATAAGATTCTCAAATACCAAAAAGACAAGAGCGAAAAGCTAACTTTTTAAGCGCCTAAAACAGACCTGGCTAGCAAGCTTTGATGTGCGCCGACAAAAACACCTTGTAGTGGTTGAAGAAACATATTAAAGAGATACAGCCTTTGGAAGGGTGCCACACTGAGACTGTAGAAGAGCAGAAATTCCTCACACTGAAGACTTTATGGCGTACCAGCATACGTACACTTGCGTTCGAACTCGTAGTGGAAAATGGTATACCATATCCATTTAAGAACAACCATGCAATAAAAACGTGGATTGACGGGTTTATAAATCCTTAATTATCGTTAAAATTGCTAGAGCCGACAAGTATAGTGAAATGTGCAGCCTTTAATACACGAAAAGTTTTTAAGAAGGAGAGTTTTTAAGAAATGTATAAAAAATACAATTTCTTACAAAACCCAACCAGCATATATTATAACAAAGAAAAGTCTGGTGTGAAACATCATCTTCTAAGCAACCAAAGCTTATTTCAGTAAAAGGAAAAAACAAGTGGGAGTATTAAGTTATGCTAAGAGAGGGAACTGACCACAATAATTTGTTGCATCAATGGCAAGTAGCATTTATTTTCGGAAAGAGAAAGAAAATAGCGCCGCTTGGTGCAGATATTCTGGGTAGATCATTGCAGACATCATTCATGAATGACTGAAGTTCTTTATTAAAATAGTTGGATCACCTAAACAGTACCCTGTGTTTTTAATTTTCTATAACCACAGTTCGCATACTGATACATAAATCTTGCTAAAAAGCTAAGGACAGGAAGAAGAAGCAGAGGTCGACCGCTAATTGGGGGTTAGATAGAGTTGAGACCGAATTAGGGATGCTAGAGATCAGAAGATGGGAACACGTTACCAGAAACCGAACAGAATGACGACTAATCTTAGAGCAGGCCAGGATTTACAGATTGTCTAAGATGATAATGATGATAACTGCAGTTCGCATTTAAAATTGAACAATATTATTCTAGCCTAGAGGCGAACAATACACGACATCAAGATGACGTCAAAATTGTCCAAGAATGAAACATTGTCCTTGCTACTGGTATCAATATTTTTGACTGCCAGTAACACGAGGAAAAAGAAGAAAATATGACTTGACCTGTATAAATGATTAAAGATTCGTTTATACATCTATTAATGTAATCAATGATCTTGGTACGTTACTCCACTAATAACCCTGCGTGGTTGATGTGGATTATGTTTTATTTTTTAAATAAAAAAAATTAATTGTCTACATTTTTTCTGGGAAATTCGAAGAATAGAAAGTAAAATTATTGTAAGTTTTGGTTTACTTATTTAATATAATAAATATACTTTCAAATTATAGTGTTGACTTTTGAATATGCATATTTAAGTCCGATTATAGCATATCAGTCACAAATTGTTGGAGATGGATTGGTAAAAAAGACAGCTTACGCTCGACAGAAGTTTCTATTGGGACCGTGCAAGTTCGGAACAGCGACACCTGGTGTCGTAAATCAGCAAAATTTACTGCGCTTTCATGTTAGATGGAGGTTACCGGATAACTGTCAAGGACGTAGCCCCAAAAAAGAATAAGAAGAAAAAGTAAGATTGAGGTTATCTCGGTATGCTATTAAAAGGTAAACGTTGTATGTAGTGTAATTACAAATAAATATATTATTAAATTGCAGCATTACTGTTAATATGCAATAATAAAAACTGGATTTGAGAAAGTAAATCACCAAATAACTTTTCAACCAAGCACTAAGTCAAAGGGAAAAGCGTTAGTAGTTGCAAATGTTAAGAATGGAAGAATATGTGAAAGAATTAAGAAAAATAAATTACCATAAATAATGCTAATGCATAAATTAGCAGGTTAAGCCCATGTTATCATCATATTGGTTTGAACAATTATTAATTCTTTCCCTGTAAACCTTTGGACAGAGAATATATCTTAATGCATCTTCAGAAAAACTTGAACTTGATGCATTTTTGTAAACTTCAAAAAAATAAAATTTAAACATTAAACTTGATTTTTGGATTAAAGTGAACTCTAAGTGGGAGCGCCCACCAAAGTGGCGTGGCACGTAGCAAGTGGCAAGTAGCACGCGTCTAGCATGTTTCTTAAAATGTAACCAATGAAAACGAATGATTCTGCGTACACCAAAATGACAGTGACGTCATTCATTCTAATCATTTGTTTTCATTGGTTACATTTTAAGAAACATGCTAGACGCGTGCTACTTGCTACGTGCTACTTGCCACGCCACTTTGGTGGGCGCTCGCCCTAGTGAGTGTTATGAAACTAAAATTTACACTTAAAAGTGAACTTTTATTTATTATTTATTTCAAACTGACTTTAAAATCGGGCGCAAGAATAATACATAATTTAGGTTATGTTACTTATGCTTTTTTATGATATAAATCCACTTTTCGCTTTGTAGTAATTTGTGCTTCGAAGTTGGAAACGAATAAAACTTAAATTGACAATTTTTTGTTGTATTTTTACAATTTATAACACAGCATTTCCTAAATCCCATTTTCTTCAGTGACAGAAGGTGTAAATAAACAAACGAATATGAAATATGACAATTGATAATATGAATTTATGAAATCTATGAAATGTGCAGTAAAAAATGCAAGATTTCTCCGCTACTCGCGCACGATCGTTTCTCGTATCACATTCAAGTACTTGCACGTCGCCAATAATTTTAGTTGTGACTGTGGAATTCTCCAATTTTAAAAATTTAATTTTTTACGTTTATATATACTTCTTGAGATAATAGATAATAGAATATATTTTGTATTATTTTAGTTAATATGACAACACGTATATTTGTCATAAGAATTCCTAATTCAAGTTTTTATTTAATTATCATAGGGACATACTGTAAAGTACAGGTTTTTAAATTATGAAAGGTAAAATTCTCACCTTGTTTGTCTCTGCCTTCGTGCCGTAAGATAATATTACTGCCATCCTCTCTTCTCCAAGCAACTGTCGGTTCCGGCACTCCAGTGGCTTTACATTTGAGCCGGATTGTGCCCCCTTCGACAGCTTCAGTCACGTCGTTAGGTTCGTTGTCTGACAATATGTCTGGCGATATTACTACTTCCAAATTACCCATCTGAAAAATAAAGGAGGTAAGAATAAAATATTACCCTGAATAACTGAAGTAAGCTAACAGAAAATTGTTTTAGGGGAATTTAAGCTTCTATAATACTAGTAAAAAGAGAAAACTGTAAATTGCCTTTGTGTCTTCTAATTTATGTCAAAGTATACTATGGCTATACTAAAACAAGCATGTAAAATAAAATGAAAATCCAATAAAGCGGTACTTCATAAAATTAAATATTTTTAAAGGTCTTACAGAATCAGCAATTGTCAAAATAGAGAAAGCATAGTATCGAGCCAACGAAAAAATATACGAGGTGGTCCTTAAGTAATTTATACAAAAAAGAAACCGTAGACTCTGCACTTAAAAATATGATTTAAGTCAACTTGCCTCAATAAAATGTTGATATTAAGAAAGATGCAGGGTTGTTAACCCTTAACTTGGCGCGCACATACCCGCTGTAAGAAAAATGTTTTTCTTACCGAATATCATTTTTAGAGGACTCCGATTTTTTTGACATTTTATTGACATTGTATCTCATAAGATACATTACTAGGCGTATCGTACATTACAATGTACCTCGCAAGACACATTGCCAGGAATACTCTAAAACAAGTACTGATGACCAATAGATACGTAACAATAAAACACTGAAAACTTTATTTTCAAACTTCACCAAAATTTATTTTAAATTGCCTTTCTCAAGTTATCTATTTTTGGCATGCATTTACACTTTATAGTCTTTAATGAAATAGGTTGAGGAGGGAAGAACTGTTTGTCTCAAGTTGGTCATTCAGAATTATATATGTGTTTTTTAATTTGTTGATTTCCATAGATTCTAACAAAGATAGCTTAAGGCCTGTATTTTGAATGTGAAGAATTTTAAATTCGTCATTAAAAGAATGATTATGATCTAGAATGTAAAGTGCGTATGTAGAATATGTTTTTCTATTATTGAAAGCCCTTTTATGTTCTGCTATTCGTTTATTCAAATTTCTACCCGTTTGACCGATGTAAGTTTTTGGGCAGTCGCCACATTTAAGTTTGTACACACCACTGTGTAAGTGTTTCTTATTTTGGCTCTTGTTGTTTTTAATATATTTGCTTAAGTTGTTACTTGTTCTGAAAGCTGGTGTTATTCCATTCTTTTTTATGTGTTTGGCTATTTTTGTTGATATTTTGCCTGTATATGTAATCGAGCAGAAGGTACTGGGTTTTTTCTTTGGTGGTGGAAATACTAATTTCAGGGCTTTCTTGTGTAGTTTTTGATTTAACATTTTATTAATTGTTTGTTCGTTGTATCCATTGTTTACTGCTATTTGCTTAATGATATTTAATTCTGTCTCAAAGTTGTATTTTGACATCGGAATTTCTGTTAATCTATGTAACATACTATGATAGGCTGCCAGTTTATGTAGTGTGGGATGGGATGATGAATTGTGTATAGTGTAGCATTTGCAATTTCATTGATTCTTTGAAATTCCCTTATATATTCATTATAATAACGAAGAATTTTTTCAATGTTTCTTAGTTCGTATCGTTCAATTTGAAACCCAAATAATATTTCGTTCTTTTCACGTCGCCAAGTCGTTAATATAAACCATTTTATAGTTTGTTTATATTTGACAGATGTTACTTCATCAGTGTTTCTTTTAATGTTTTATGCGAACTGATTAAATTGCGTTTTCTAATAAATGATTTGCGTTTCAACCATTTAAAGTGTTTGTTTATTCTAACTTATGCGATCCAAATGTTATGTCCAAGTTATGTCCAAATTTTACGTCTTAATTTCTGTTGTGTTTTGTTTATTTTCAAGTTATGTGAACGAATTTTTAAGATAATTTCGTCATTCTTACTTGGGTCGTTGTAGGCTCAGGTATGGATCCAAATTCATCCGTCGAATTTGTAGTTTTCTGTTTTTGGCCCATTTTTATGGAAATATGTAGCAGTAAAAAGTAAATTGTGAAGTATGTCTAGTTACAGAGGAGGTTAAAAAAGTATTTAAGAGATTTGTGTCGCCTGCAGCAATTCTGATGTTCCAGTTTGTTTCCAGTTGAAGTGCTTCTTCAATCTCGCTGTTCCTGAAGCAGTTTGTTTAGTTCCAGTTATAGTTCCAGAATTCTAGTGTAAAACCCAGTGCAGTCCAGGTAACTTTTGTGTAAATATTTAAAGTAAAGTAGACATTTTTTAATGGTATAATTGCTTTCATTGGAATTTGGAGGATTTGTAATAATTAATAAATTATAAAATTTTAGGGTTTGACTTTAGCTGTCAATTTGTGTATTCAGTTTTTTTTTAATTTATTGTTAACTTATGACAGCTCGTTTTATTATTTTTGATTTTAGTTTGTTTAATTTTTAAAGAAGGTTAACCTCCATGCAAATTTGTAAGTTTTGTAGCAACAGAGTTTGTAAACAGCTAGGACACATGTTTTTTTTGTTATTCTTGTTCTCTATTAATTATTATGTTATGATCTCTATTAACTATAAATCTATATGTAAATTTGTGCCATTATTTTTATAACTGTTTGTGGTAAGACACCAATAAATGTTAAATTTTGTTTCTTAACATTTTGTCTATTTTTTTAAATAATCTTTTTTTTTCTTTTCGAATAGTATCCCAAGTTATCGTTACAAAAATGTCGCCCAAATATGTTTTGATTTTTTAATAATTATTTTCCTATTACAACTAGTGGTTGTAATAGGTATAATTAGGCACCTCAAAGTGGCGCCCTATATTAAATTACTAGAGGTGTTTTCTGTTTTTTTTGCTTTATTTGTCCGAAGAGATTCATGACCTTTTGTTCCATTTTTTTTGGTAGTTGCCCCAATCCAACCCCTTTGCTATGTACTTATCCACGACCCCAGCTCTCCTAACAAACCCTGAGTGCCGTTCGCATATGTTTCGATTATTTTGCTTACCCTATCTCAGCCTCCATAGTTTCTGCCCCCAATTTTCTACCCCTTATATTAGGCAAAATATTTTCGTTACAATAGTCGTGTCAGTATGGGTAGGGTTATAAAATATGGAGAAATCAAGTCTTATAATTTTTAAATCTAAAAAATTTATGGATTGATTTTGTTCTGTTTCTATTGTAAATTCAATATGACTATGAAGTGAATTAATATACGATAAAAATTGCTCGAGTTGCCTGTTAGTTCCTGGGAAACATACCAGTACGTCGTCTACCTATCTCCACCAATATAAAAACTGTTTGAATATGGGATGTTCTGAAATCTTTGTCTTTGTAATAGTCAACTTACAAACTTAGTTGTGATATTTGTGCGGTAAAGCACTGAATAGTAGCAATCCCAAAATTTATCAACAAACCAAACCCAACAATGCTCACTACAAAAAACATCTATACATTTGCCTACTTCTTCAGTTAACACTACAATCTTAACACTTACATCATCTGAGTCATTCTCTAATACCCAAAAACATAAATCAACCTTACCCGAAACAAGTCAACACTTACCTCCAAATAAAAATACACATATGAATTCTCACGAACCCCAAATAAATTCGAACAAAGCAACCGGAAAAAAACCCAAGAAGATGTAATCACGTCACCCGCCGAAGAAAACTTTGAACAACCTAAAGTTTCAATTAAAACAGAAACCAAAACTGATGACAAAAAACTTAAAAAGCATGAGATACCCAATCTTCTAAACATTACTAGAAACCAGTTAGAAAATATGTAGAAAGGGAAAACCAATTGTTAAGCTTAGATCATGTAGTGGATCTATTCGAAAATATACAAGGATCAAAAGACATAATCAGCGTAACAAAATTGTACTCAGAAGACTCTCATGCACTTAGAAAGCTTCTAAAGGAATTACATCCATACTACATCAACAATAGAATGAAAACCAAACGCACCAAATTAATACGAAAACTTAGAAACACATAGGTTTAGTCACATGTGAAAACTTCATTGTCGGAAGAAGATTGCGACTCGTCGGTAAATAATTCCTCTAAAGAATAATACGATCACTGTTGACTTCATGTTTGTTCCATCACATTCAGGTATACAAGGAAATCAAGAAGCAGATGAACTACCCGCTTAGCATCCTTCAGCCAGGACTCTATTCTTATTAGTGAGGTTTCTTCTGATGACTTTAAGTCAGAAATAAAATATAAAGTGTTAAGTGCGTGGCAAAATAAGTGGAGTGTATCACAAAATAAACTCAAAGGAAATCAAACAATTAGTGAAACCGTGGCTCCAACCTACAGCGAATAGACACGACCAAGTGAGAATAACATGTTTGCGACTAGAACACAGTAATGTAACACATAAACACCTCTTTACGCCAACTAACTGTGCCGCCAATGTGTGAAAATTGTCAAATAACAGTCTCCGCAAAGCATATAGTACTAACCTTAAAGACTTAAGACTGTATCAATTATTGTAATTTTTAACCCTTGTGGTTACAGCGTAAATAAATAAAAAAAACAGTATGGCCGTTACTAACTGTCAAAGTTCTGAAGTACCTATTGAAACATCCTGTTACCCTTTATTATAATATTAATATATGTCTTTCAATAATTAGTTCTCTTACCTACATTAAATTTAATCCGATAAGAAATTATAAAGAGGGAGAGAGAAAGAGAAAACTATTTTTATTCGGCTTTTTTGTGTACTGATAGAACGAAAATCAAACAAGGTTAAATATACCGCACTACAAAATATTAAAAGTCGAATTTTATCAAAGAATGTTTCATAAACAAGAAACTTTAATATTCTTTCAAGAGAGTCACTGCAGCTTTTCATGTGAAAGCTTTCGTTTTGAAACCTATCGGTTGGAATTGTAAAAAATACAGGTATTTGCTTTTTAGAATATTATTGCAGCAAAATTACGAATCTTTGAATGAATAACTTCGTTCAATAAAAATTCTTTCTTTTTTTATCGAAAGAGTTTCCTAAAACTAATTTTGTATTTGCGTTTCCACTATTATCGGTAGAAGATATTTAACAACTTTTCAGTAGTTTTTAAATGTCAACTTTTATTAGAAAGAGTAGATAGTCTGGTAATTGTACACAATTACCGGTAATTGTATACAATTACCAAAATGTAGGACATATTCTTTAAAAACCCTTTATTTTCTACTTTTACCAGCAATTGCAATTGTATACATAACGAAGTTCCCGAAAAAGTTTAGTAGTGCCACCTATACTGCCAAAAGAAATGAATAGTAGATGTCAAATAGATTTGATAGACATGCAAGCCCAAGCAAATAATGAATTCAAATTCATTACTTAGTTATAAAGGTATTCCATCTAATTTGTTGACATTCTAATATAACTTTTACCTGGCTGAACTTTTGAGAAATAAAAATTGCTAATTTGTCGCCATTATTTGTTTAATGCTCTCCCATAGTCTTCTTTTCTTCTATTAACTAACTAGAAGGTAAATCTGACAGGAATGTAGAACGACAATATAAGGTAACTATGTTTGCTTTCTTTTTTTTTGACTATGTATGCATATTGATTCTTTTAGAGGTTTAGCCTATTTTTCCCATTCTCATTTCCCATAGATCAAGCATATAGTCTTCCTCGCCCCTTGACTAAGTGGCGTCCTTTATTTTCCCCTATAAGCGTTTTCATCTCTGCTGTTTCTAACATCCTTTTTGTCCTCTCTGTGCCAGGTCGTGTTTCTGCCGCGTATGTCATTATTGGTCTGATGACTGTTTTGTAAATTCTGCCTTTCGTTTCTTTCCCGTTAGTTTTATTTTCTCATATTGTTTCATTCAGGCACTTAATCTTCCATTTTAATTTTGGTCTTATTTAAAGAATTATAAAAAATACTAGGGTATGGTACAAACGGAATTCGGTCATAATGTGTAGACGTTATAAAATACAAAGGTCCGTACCTTTTTTTTATAATTAGGTTTATTTACAATCTAAATCATTATAGAGTATTAAGTAAATGTGTTACAGGTTGAACGAGTGAAGGAGAGACATCCAATTATGTCTCATCTTATTCTATTTTGGTTAAGTTTTGAAGTAGGTCTTTTTTGAAGCCAGGTTCTATCTAGTCTTCTTGTGGCTGGACCATTGTTAAATAATTTTTTTACTAGCTTATTTTTATAGTGAATGGTACGTTCATTTTGTGACTCTGTGAATAGATGGATTTTTTCTCTGATGAAAGGAGTAGCCTGATGGGTCGATAAGCTGTTACTTCATTGGGCTCTTTTCCTAGTTTGAGGATCATAATGACTTCGGCAAATTTTCATATTTTTGAAAAATATGCTAAGCTTAGCATGCGGTTAAATATAGCTGTTAGCAAAGTAATGGTCTTGCGAGGAAGTTGTTTTACTACTTGTGCCGAGATTAAATCATAACCTGGGGCCTTTCGTGAGTTGAGTTTATTTATTTCTTTCCTGACTTCTATAGGAGTGAAACTTTAAATTGGAGGGACATTTCACACGCTGCGCTAATTAGTTCTTCCACTTCTTCATTAGGGTCTTCTGGCTCTGTTTGAAATACGTTTGTAAGATGTTCAGCAAAGACGTCCGCTTTTTCTTTGTTGGAGCAGGCCAATTCGCCATTTGTTTTATGATTGGGAGGAACAGTTGTGTATGGTTTCTTAAGCTTCTTTTTCGCATTCCATAACGTCTGGTCATTTGCTATAAGGTTTGTAATATAATGTTCAAAGGTTTCGTTGTTTGTGGCTCTGATGGCTACTCGAAGTTGCCTACGTAGTCTATTGAATATTTGTAGGTCTATGTTGTTTCTAGATCTTTGCCAAGGTCTCCTTGCACGACGTTTTTCAGCAATGAGTTGGCGAATGTGCGGAGTAACATTTGTGGTATGTATTGGTTTGCGTTCAGTTTGTGGTGTAGATTGCCATGCCGCTTTTTGCACAAGTGTGGTGAAGTATTGAGCTGCTGTATCTATGTCATATGTAGATTTAATCCGCAGATTAAGATTTATGTTTTCTTCTAGGTAGGATTGAAAATCTGCCCAGTTGGTGTTTTGACGTGGATCGAGGAGGTGGTCTTCCTACTGATCGTCTTCCTATTGGAGAACCGTTTCTTGCCGTCTTTACTACTTAATTTGTTGTCATTCGGCTTATATGATCGTTTCACCGTTCGATCTTACACGAAATACAACCGTCAATAACCAGTCAGCCTACCTTAGACTAGTCAGCCCTCAGACGAGATTTCATTGTGATAAGACGACTTCGGATAGGACATTCAAAACTCACACACGGCTACCTAATGTCCTCTAGCATCCGTCCCTGCTGACAAAGCTGCCAATCATATTTGACAATCAAACATATTCTCACTGAATGACATCAACATTCGGCCAGAAGATTACAATACAAACTCAAAAATGAAGTACGAGATATACTAAACAACCTTGACCATATAAAATCTGTGCTGCAATTCCTGAGAGATGAACACTTATATCAAAAAATATAATTAGATTTTAATTTAGACATTGTGTAACATAGTGTTATCATTCCGTATTATTGTAACATATTTTTAATGTTACACTTAATGTTTGTGTAATGAAAACTCATGTTATAGTACCTGTGTAAGTGGCCATAGTAGCCGAGCACGTTAAAGTTAAAATAAAAAAAAATATTGCTACAAAAAAGAATTGACATATAATTTTTTACTAATAAAAGAGTTCTTTTAATCCATTTAATTTAAAAATATCCAAAAATGTATTATAGACAATGTATTATAGAAAATTTTTGATTTGATTAACAGCAATATCCTTCACTTTAGACGGACATGTTATCTAGCTTCTTATGCTTTAATAATACTAAAATATGTTTAATTAAATTCATTTTATTCCACCATCGATTTTTTTAGGACCACTTAAAAAAACTAGTAAAATCAAGAAATTTTTTTCTATAAGATATTTGAATTAAAATTGTTCTTTTACAAGCTTTACAAAAAAAAACAATTTGAAGCATCTCTTTTTTACATTTACCACATTACATTACCTTGCTTTAAATTAACCAAAAACTAGAAATCTACAGCATTCAAAAAAAGAAATATAAATGTTCTTTTATATATAATTTACCTGACTTCGCATAGGGTCTGTGTTTATCTGACACATATATGTGCCCGAATCGTTCTTTTGTACATTAGATACGTGTAGTTTCCACGTGTTGTGTCCATTGTGTGTTACAGAAAGACGAGGATTCTGAGCCACCATATGAGTGTGTATTGCCAAAATGGCTTTTGTGTCAGACTTTATCCAGGCAACCTGAAATTTAAAAAGAATAACGTTATTTCGGCAGAATAAACATCACAAGATTAAAAAGCATCCTTACTCTGGACAAAGTAATTATTTTTTTATAAAGCAATTGAGATTATGACATAAACGGGTAATCTTAAAAATTACGATATTCTTCATATATATATATATATATATATATATATATATAATATATATATACTATATATATATATATATATATACCGGGTGGTGAATCGCCAAACGGGCCATAGGAAATTCAATGGGAAATTCTAAATTGTTGAATTCCTGCTTCCCTAATTATTTTACATCAAAAGTCATAAGAAACTATTTGTAGAGGACTGAAATATGTATTAAAAACAAATGTTAAAATTGTTCTACGAATTAAATGTATTCCAAAATTTTGTAAAAATATAATACATTTTTCAGGCACCCTTAAAGTCAGGCCACACGAGGTACAAGAATGTGTATGACATGTTGCGTTTGGTCATATTGATGATTCTGATATTTGACAATATTATTGAATTGTCAATATTTTTATTTTTGATTAAATTATACACAAATACTAAATACGCAAATTTTCACAAATACTACTACTAGTGAACAATAAATAGTACTTTGCTAAACAATAAATTATATTGTTTACAAAGCAATAAAATTGATGAAATGTATTCAGTTCACGAAAATCGCAATAATGTTGTATTCAGGCAATAGTGCAAGCACTGCCAGATCTTTATTTAACACAAGATATCATAATACACTCCAATTCAATTCCAGTTATACAACAATCAAATAATTTCAATGTATATTTTACTGTGTTCCTTATAATAAATAATAATTTATGATAATTTCTAACATAAAACTATAACAAATGTTCAAACAATAAGCCATTTTGTACTAAGCAGTATCCCACTCGATTGTAACATTCTTGTCTAACATTAGCCCAGTAAATTCGCATTTTTAATGCTTCAATATCTGTAAATTTTTTGTCAGAATAGATTTTTGATTTTAGATGCCCCCAGATAAAATAATCGTTTGAGCTGCTCCGATCTCGGAGGCCACTTAATATTACAGTCAGGTCCAATTAAACAATTATTAAAGCTGTTTTTAAGGAATTCCTTAACCTCCAGTTATTATGCGCAGGACAGTATCCATTTGAAACCAAATTTCTTCTTCATCTGGAGCTATTTCTGCAAGTCTGAGTAAAATCTCTTCTTGTAGCAAGTCTAAAACTTTTTTGAATTTAATTTTCCTCAATCAAAAATGGTCCAATAATATTGTGTCTAAATATTCCTAACAGACATTTATTTTTCGACGATATTGGGTATGGCTTTCTAAACTTCCTCAGATAATACATTTATTTAATTTTGATTTTCTAAATATTTTTTAGATCAGCTGTATTTTCAAAATTTTGTAAAATCCTTTGAATTGTTTAGTAACTTGAAATTTGTCTATTGGGATATCTTACGCTAAATAAAGAACTGACAATTCCGCACTATTGCCTGAATAAAACATTTTTATTATTGCTACTTTCTCCTCAACTGAATACATTTTTTAATCAACTATATTGTTTTTTAAACAATAAATCACAAATTAAAATTTTGGCAATTCAAATATTGTCAAATATCAGAAACATAAATATGACCAAACGCAACATGTCATACACATTCTTGTACCTCGTGTGGCCTGACTTTAAGGGGTGGCCTGAAAAATGTATTATATTTTTACAAAATTTTGGAATACATTTAATTCGTAGAACAATTTTAACATTTGTTTTTAATACATATTTCAGTCCTCTACAAATAGTTTTTTATGACTTTTGATGTAAAATAATTAGGGAAGCAGGAATTCAACAATTTAGAATTTCCCATTGAATTTCCTATGGCCCGTTTGACGATTCACCACCCTATAGAGATTATAATATAAATTCAATTTTATCGACCAATAAAATCGTTGTTTACTATATCGTTTGTACTTCATCGTTTTTCAGTTTACGGGGATTCATGGCTGTTTCATCTACACGCTGGCCTGTGCGGGTTGGTAGACGGATGGTAGGATGGGTTAGGAAATTTTGGGGTCTTTGACAAGGATGATAGGTTGGGACGTGATACCCTCTCGGTTAAAGGGAGTGAGAGTGAACCACGGCTCACGTAGGTAGGGCAGGGTCGCGAACCTGTAGTGTAGACCTAACTTTACCGAGGATCGTAAAGTGTATCTACCCATTACCCGAGGATAACAGTAAAGATCGAATACAAAATGTAATCGTATGCATTATGAAATTGGTTGCTCGAGATATACTTCATAAAATCGTTACCAAGCCATATATTCCTGGATAAAGTATTGTTTTGTGTTTTTTCCTTCTAAGAAAAAAGTGGTATGCATTTTTAACTTTGAAGAACTAAGCTCTAAAATCGACGTATTGCTAATACAACTGACATTTTGCATAGAATATATTATGGATTTATTATAATTGATATTTTCTTTATTTCAGCCCTTAAGTAAGTGAATAAACATTTTCGCCAAAAGAATTAATTTGGCTTCTTCGGGGCTGAAAGAGAAGAAATTGTAATTAACTACCATATATTGTCTATTAAAAAACACTGGTGATTTTACCGTAACGTAGAATTGTAGAGTTAGAATGTTAAAAAACTTAGCTAGTAACAACATAGTGTTTTTTTGTTACTATGTGGAATTTTTTTTTATATTACCGTTGGAAATGTATGGTAGCTTTAAACTTGAAACGCAAAGGTGTACCCAAGGTTAATCGAAAAACCCAATGTAACTACATTTAAAAGGAAATAATTAATTCTGTTTTACCAATGAACCTTAACCCTGAACTACTATCGTGGGGTCAAATTTGACCCCAGGACTTGAAATTTCGTGCGCCACTGGTAGACAGTTTGGCGAACGACCTTGTTATTCTATGTATTCTCCCAATTTAGTACGTAGTTTAGCATGCCGCTTAGTAGCAAACGATCAGTGGGATAGTGCACACGTGCTGCTGAGTTCCGGTCGGATTTGACCCCACCATAGTAGTTACGTTATTATTATTTAAGATAATACATTAAAATGGCTTTAAGAATTAGCGGAAGTACGGTGACAAGTGAAAATGTTTTTGACTTTCTCGAATCTCTGGAGGAACCAACCGAAAATATTGACACTTATAGTGACTCTAATAACAGTGATACTGACACTGAAAGTGAACATTCGGTTCACGACACAGATTCAGAAATTGACGTAAGTGACTTATCAAGCGACGAATGTGAAACAGCATCTAATAATGAAACAAATTTTTACTATGGACGGAACAGATATAAGTGGGCTAAAAATGCTCCGGCCCCATCAAAAATTCGCGCACAGAACATTATTACACACCTTCCTGGTCTTCGTGGACCTGCCTTAGAAACAAAACCATCCAGTCCACTTGAATCCTGGTCACTTCTTATAACTCCTGACATGTTGGCCTCTATTCTAGAGTACACAAATGAAAAAATTACCGAGCTCAGTGTAAATTATGGGGATACATGTACATTTGTCGATCATCTAAACGAAGGTGAACTTAAGGCTTTTTTGGGTCTTTTATACCTTTCAGGTGTACTAAAGTCTAATCATGAGAATGTCGATTCATTATTTTCGACAAGTGTTTTAGGTAGGCCAATTTTTCGTGCTACAATGTCAAAAGAACGCTTCTTATTTCTTCTCACAGCAATAAGATTTGACAATCATGAAATAAGAGAGCAAAAGAAGGCCAATGGAGATCGACTTGCAGCAGTGTCCTATTTATTTAAATGTTTCGTATCTAACAGTACAGCAAACTACACCTGTTCCGAATATGTTACAGTGGACGAGATGTTGGTTGGGTTTAGAGGTAGATGCCCTTTCAGAATGTACATGAAAGCCAAACCAGTCAAGTACGGCATCAAGATCATGTGTTTATGTGACGCAAAAACACATTATTTGGTAAATGCTTTTGTGTATACGGGTAAAACAAATGATCCTAATGCCCAAAAGCTATCCATACCTACAAGATCAGTACTTGCTTTAGTGGAACCAATTGCCAATAGTAACCGAAATGTCACTGGTGATAATTGGTTCACCTCAATAGAGCTAGTTGATGAACTAAAAAAACTTCGACTTACCTATGTAGGTACAATGCGTAAAAATAAGAGAGAAATTCCTCCACAATTTCAACCAAATAAAAATTACGAAGTTGATAAGTGTTTATTTGGTTTTACACGAGACAATACAATCGTATCATATGTCCCTAAAAAAAATAAAAGTGTAATTATGTTGTCGTCTATGCATCACGACAAATCTGTTGACCAGGAAAGCAAAAAACCTGATATAATAGCTTTCTACAATTCGTCGAAAGGGGACGTTGATGCACTTGATCAAAAATGTGCACTTTATCGTTCAGGTCGAAGATGCCAGCGATGGCCTTTAGTAATTTGGTATTCCATAATGGATATTGCTATAGTAAACAGTCACATTATTTTTCACGCAGCTAATCCTGGGGTTAGAAAAAATCGATCGGATTTTATTCAAGAGCTGGGAATCAGTCTTATAAATGAACATTTAGAAGTAAGATTTGCAATGCCAAATTTGTCAAGAGAATTACGCTCGATAATTTCCAAAGCATTAGAAAATAAAATTACTCATCAAGATCAGACCAAACCAGAAAGGCCAGTTGTAAGACGTAGATGCTACTTGTGTCCCAGAGGTAAGGATAACAAACATTCCACATTTTGCGCAGAATGTCATAGGACCATCTGCAAAACACATTCACTTCAGAGAGTTACCTGTACTATGTGCAAAGAATAGATAAACACTTACAATTTGTTCAAATATTTTTGTCGCAAGATTCTAACATTACGAAAAAAAAACATGACTGTTATTTTTTTATATGGTTACTCTATTATGATTTTCTTTTGTATTAGGTTAAGACGTTACTATTATAAACTACTTTTCAGAAAATGAACCGTTAATTTCAATTTAAGATATATTTTTTT